GGGCATTTGAGTGGGAAACCTGGCTAGCCCCAGCTGGACTGTGCTTTTTAAAGAGTCAGACTCTAGATCCCCTTATCCTGGAATTTCTACACCAGGAGAGGCTGACCAGCTCTCCAAGAAGAGAAGAGAACCCTTCTGAGCACTTGTATATGGTTTCAAGAAGTTGTCCTCAGTTAAACAATTCCTTGGACACCCCATGTATCCCTCATCCCCATCCAAGTTTCAATCCCCTATTAAGGCTGGAAGGAAATGCATGTTGCCTGGCTGTGCAGGACTATAGGGGAACCGAAAACTCAACAGCTCCTAAGAGGGTAGTGTATCTTCACCTTGTAAACAAATGTAAACATCAGCAACTACAAATAGTGTAGCTGCTGACTTTTAAAAAGCACACACTTACCTGTCCCAGGATCCAGCGATGTCCTCACCCAACATGGCTCTTTGCCTGTCTTCAGCCCCAGGCACCGGCATCTTAACTGTGGGCAGCCGGCTGTGACTGCTTGCAGCTTCACAGCTGACTGCCCAAGCAGCTTCACAGCTGACTGCCCACTGTGCATGCTCAAGCCACGCTGAGCCCCATGAATGGTCTCCCAGTCTTCTGGGACCTGTGACATTTCCCAAGAGGCTGTGGGGAGAGGTAGGGGCAAACTTCCAGTCCTATCGCCTACACAGCCAGAGCAAAAATGGGAGCAGGTACCTATCAAAATCAGGTAGCCCCCCCCCCCCTTAAAAAAAAAGGCATTCTAAATATGAGAGAGGAGAAGGAGGAAAAGCAAAACTTCCCTTTTTGGGTGAAGCTCCACTTTAGTGTGATTGGCATCCCCTACCTTTAGTGGTCATCTGTATATGAAACAATGTGTATATGCATTTTAGCTTTCCTTTGCTCTGCTGTGTATCAAACAACGTGATTTGGGCTCCCTCTTTCTAGTGATCATCTGTATATGAAGCAGTGTGATCCTCCTCCCTCTGTATAATAGGCAATGTGATCAAGGGATACGTAAACCCAACATTTCATATTCCTGGTATGTGCCTGCTGTACCATGTACCTGTATGCAAAAGTATCCTGTTCTCTTTGTATTGCTTCCTTTCTGTGAAATCCCTGGTGTTCCTGCCAGTCCCTGTGCTTTCCTTTTAAAAACTGACCACACTAAGCAGGAGAACACAGTGTGGTCAGTTCTCTAGCTGAGCTGGGAACTCAGTGTGCTCTTCCTCAATGATCAGACATCTGCTGACACATTCCCCCACCCCCTGCCCCTGCACACAGTGTCTGCTGTTTCTCCTCTACCAGCTCTTATGCAGCTGAGAACAGAGGGTATGTGAGCACTTATAAAAAAAATTATAAAATGCAATTTTTTTCCCTTTTTTATATCTATATATAAATTTTTTGTCTTTCATTTCTATTTTAAATTGAATGGGTTGTTCTACAAGGTGAGGGCTTACAATCACTTTAAACACTGGCTTTCTCTAGTGGTGCTCTGTATATCAAACAATGTGACTCTAGTATCAATTGATCATGATTGATTACTGCAAGATGCTACTGCTCCAAAGGGGAGCCATGTGTTCCATTTGTTTAGCAGGTATTTGTTACACAGCAGTTAACTTACAAGCATTTTTTTATTAGCATGATTGACCTACTAAAAGTCTCCTGTGTAGCTTTTACCTATTTAAGTGACTGTCAGCAAAATAGTCAAAGTGTAACTAAAGATAAAACATTGAAAGTGGAAGAAAATCCCAAATGTTTGGTTGTTAACAGAACAGTAATAGAGGGAAAGTCTTCCAATGGGGTTCAATCAGGGATTCCCTCACTTTGAAGGGATTTCCTCTTCCTGTTTTGAATGTGGGAAAAGAAGTGCAGGAAAATCCCAATGGGACACACATGGCAAAAAAAAATAAAAAATTGATGGCTTCCAAAATGAAAAAAAAAGTTTCCCCTTTAGTTCTACTTTAAATTTCCTAGTAGCAAGAGATTAAAATCACCAGTAGGGATACGTTCAGGCGTGTTCAGATGTCTCGATTGCTTATGATTGGCGAAGTACATTGACCGCTTCCTGGCATGATTGCTCAGGTGGGTTCGGAATAGGATCCTAACCTGCCTGAGCTCAACCCCAATAACCAGTGTAGCCCTAGCCTAAATTTCTCAGCCTTAGGCTATATTCATATGGGCAGTTAGCATATCCTGCAAATTCTTGTGGCTGTTATAAAGATAAAAGTGCAGCACTTAAAAGTAAATGCTAATTATAGCATAAATATATATACTGTGCCAGTATCCAAAATGAATTGTCTGTAAAGTGCATCAGTGTAAACAAGATACATATATATCCAATCAATACTGAAAAAAGTTAATACCCCAAATTCAATATAAATTACCCATAAAGCATATCAGTGTCAAAAGAGTAATACACCATACACTATAAGGTGCAGCAAAAAAAATTAAACCAATATTATTATTATTATTATACAGTATTTATAAAGCGCCAATAGTTCGCTCAGCGCTGTACATTACAATGGGGGACAGAACAATAACAATACAATACAATGCAAAATCTGAGGGGATCGAGGGCCCTGCTCTTTCGAGCTTACAATCTAGGAGGGAGTGGATGGTGGCACAGGAGGAGAAAGCTGTGGGGGATGGAGTGGTAGGAAGAGTGGAGGAGGTTGGCAAGTTAGCAGGGGGTGGGGTAGGCTTCCCTGAAGAGGTGGGTTTTCAGGGTGCGCCTAAAGGAGAGGAGAGTAGGTGATAATCTGATGGGTTGGGGCAGGGAGTTCCAGAGGATGGGTGATACCCTGGAGAAGTCCTGGAGGCCAGGAATGGGAGGAGGAGACCAGGGAACTAGATAGAAGGAGGTCTTGAGGAGCGGAGTGTGCGTGTTGGGTGGTACTTGGATATTAGGTTGGTGTAGTTCGGGGCAGTATGATGGACAGCTTTGTACGTCAGTGTTAGGATTTTGAATTTGATCCGTTGAGCAATCGGAAGCCAGTGGAGGGATTGGCAGAGGGGGGTGGCGGAAACGGAGCGGTTGGAAAGGTGAATGAGTCTGGCAGCCGTATTCAGGATCGACTGAAGCGGGGATAGCCAGCGGCGAGGCAGGCCAGTAAGGAGGGAGTTGCAGTAATCGAGTCGTGATATGATAAGGGAGTGGATGAGTTGTGTAGTGGTTTCTGGGGTTAGGAACGTGCGTATTTTGGCGATGTTGCAGAGGTGGAGTCTGCACGAGTTTGTTAAAGATTGGACTTGGGGCTGGAAGGATAGGTTGGAGTCCAGAATGACACCAAGTACTCTGGCCTGCGGGGCGGGTTTGATGGTGGCATTGTTGGACATGATGGAGAAGTCAATGGGGGGTGCTATTGCTATTGCCAATATAAATGTCCAAATGTAAACATGTATATCCAAAAGGAACAATACATCAATCCTCTTTAGATAAAATGTATAGAAAGTCCCTAGGTGTAGGAAAAAAACTCAACACTCCCATCACCAGCAGTGTGCAATCCTCCACCCTTATGCATTTACCAAAGTACAATAGTCATAGCTAATGCTGCACATCCAAAACCATCTCCTCAGCAATCCAGCCGCCGGCCACCAATGCGGTTCCCTAGATAGAAAGGAGCCACACCACAGAGCCAAGGTAAAGGTATATATTGCAGTGTTTATTGGTAAAATATCAGTACAAAGTATAAAATAAATCCACGTGGTAATGTAAACAAGCAGTCCAGACTTACTAAGATGGCCACTGGTCTGAATCCTGAAAACAGTGGAGTGACATCAGCACATAAGGCCCCTCCCTACGCGCTTCGTGTGCATGCACGTCTTCAGGGGATACGGGAATCTGCAGTTATTCTTAACTATTCGCACAGTCAGTGATTACCTGCTTTTAGAGGCAGATGATGTTGCGAACAGTCACAGATAGCTGCAGGCGCAATTAGCCTGTCATTGCATTGTATGGGGCAGCACAGTGGCTAAATGGTTAGCACTTCCACCTGGCAGTACTAGGGTCATTGGTTCAAATCCCAACCATAGCACCACCTGCCTGGAGTTTGCATATTTTCCCTGTGCCTGCGTGGGTTTCCTCTAGGTACTCAGGTTTCCTCCCACACTCCAAAAACATGCTGGTAGGTTAATTGGATCCTGTCTAAACTGGCCCTAGTATGTGTATGTATGAATGTGAGTTAGGGACCTTAGATTGTACACCCCTTGAGGGTTAGGGACTGATGTGAATGTAATATATATATATATATATATATATATATATATATATATATATATATATATATGTGTATAAGCACTGCGTAAATTGATGGCGCTATATAAGTACTTGAAATAAATAATAAAATTGCATGGACTGAATGGCTGCAGCTCCTCGCACACACCTGTCATTCCAGTCGCAGGAATTTGCAGATTCTTGATGCTGAAATTCGAAGGTTGCGATAATTGTAGTCTTACTGCTGTTGTGCATAAACATTTTAAAATTTACTTGGCAATCCACCTTCGAGTAACTGAACATTGTTTTTATAGGACCAAAGCCTGACCAGCCCTGTGGTTTGTTATAAGAAGTGACCTCCTAAAACTAGCTTTATGGTCGTTTAAATCCAAACTCCAAAAAAAAAAAAATCAATTAAAAAACAAATATATTTAAATTTAAGGTAGGGTATTTGCTGAATCTGTTTTAATATCTTCCTGCACTCAGGGGAGCCAATCAGGCTCTGTGTAGTGCACATGTGTCGATAGGGAGCATGCTGACCGGCAGAGAGAAACCAAATGACTCACCAGTGTGCTGCTTCTCATTCACTGTCCAGTCAACACAATAGAAGTGTGTTTCATGACCAAGCCCTGTTGCTGCTACAGTAAAAGCCATACATATAGCTGTGCTGTCTGGCAGGGCACCTTGATCATAGGACTAACTGTACAGATTTACAAATAGGAGAATACATCATCTCCCATAGTGTATTTCATCTGTGTATTTACTGCCTGCCAGGAGTTTGGCTGTAATGAATCCTTCTATCTACAGGATCCCCCTTTGCCCGGTCAAGCTTGAAAAGTGGAAAAAACGAGAGCTCGTCTTACCTCCGCCGCAAAGAAAAGATGTTCCGGTTTTTCATCCGCCGTATGGTTAAGGCACAGAGTTTTTACTGGTTTGTACTGTGTGTTGTGGCATTGAACACACTTTGTGTTGCCATTGTACACTACAACCAGCCGGCGTGGCTCACCAAAGCCCTGTGTAAGTAGCTGACTCCACACTACTTGTTCTTAAGACCCTTGTTTTAATATCATTATTATTGTTGTTATTTAAGGTTCATGCAGAAAGGTAAGTGTTCTTCGCCCCCAATTATACTTTAAGAGTGTTCTGCACAGGCAATCTAATATCTTCAAAATTATCTAACTTTTAGCATAGAATAGGAATAGAACCTCTGTCAGGCTTTTATTTGCTGTCTGCGCCCTGCTGGAGAGACTCACACTCTTTGCACTGGCGACCATTGTCATGGAGGTATTTCCCCGCACTTTGGAGAGAATTCCTTTCAAATTCTGTTGTGTCTCTGGATAAATGGAATTCTTTATAATGGGACTACAAAAAAAAAAAAAAAAAGTGTCCTTGCCCTCATTCTTATCAAAGCAGTCCATTTTTTATTTATTTGTTACCATGCCAACTCTAGGATGTTAGGTTGTGAGAGAATCAAGGGTCACTGACAATTAAGTTTTGAGATGTCAGCAATTTAGGAAAAAAGTACAGGCAAAACCACTGCAATACTGAGGGATCAGTTTATAACAAATTTACATTTGTCTTGCAAATCTGCAAGTACATTCATTCTGTTGGCAGAAAAGAATGTTCTTTAGGCTCTTTTCTCTTCTAAACCTTTAATAAAATACTGCAATATGGAGCTGAGGAGCATAGAGATACATACCACTTTGTTCACTAATTCCCTCTAGTGTTCGCTAAAAAGTGTTTACCCCTATAGCAACTACATTTTACTCTATTATTACAGTTAATCTCTAGTATTTATCCTTGTTTTAACCACTTTACATCCCTAGGATGTACCCATACGTCTTCGGGAACAAGTGGTTATACTGGGATCATGGCTGCAGTTACAGCCATGATCCTGGTATAATTTTTTAGATTCAGTGGTGCTCTTTCTTGTAAAAGTTATTGAGGGCTGTCTGATCACTTTCACAGAGTACGGAAGGGGGCCCCCCCTCCCACCATCCTTGTTCCTGGGCTCTCCCCCATTCCATCATGAAGCCAGTAATATCCAGGTGCCTCCACTTTGGAGGGAGGAGCACAAGACACCTTTGGGCATCAGCTTTGTCATTCTGGCCCAAGGGTAGTCCTAAATGCACTAGAAGATTTAGATGGACTAACAAATTAAAGCCAAACTCCAGTTAACACTTTTTAAACAGTTACAGCAATTTTTTTTTTTTCCTTTTGGGATAAAGGTTTCAACCTTTATCCCAAAAGGAAAAATAAATAAATGAATAAAAGCTAAGCACTGTAAGCATCTCTATCACTTCTATCACTAGTAAATGTTTTGCATCTTAACTGCCACTTTTGCTGGACAACTTAGTCTGTTTAAAGAAGTTGAAAAATAACTGATCACCAGGTGAAAATGCAGGAGAAAACAGCCTAATAAAACTAATGCAGCCATCACATCTAAGACTTGGTAGGCTGCAATATAATACATTTTAGTTTCTGGATTTAATACTGCTGCTTTAAAAGTTAACACGTTCACATCTGGAATATACATGTATAGGTTGTAAATGTTTAGAGTAGAAAGCTATTGCAGGCTTAAAATTTCAAGTCCTGAGCAGGGGCGGACTGACAACTCATGGGGCCCCCGGGCAATAGGGGATCATGGGGCCTCTGTGTCCTTGCCCACACTCAAAAAAGCTTTTAAAAAAGGTACAAGGGGCATTTCATGGGGCCCCCTACTGACCCCGGGCCCTCGGGCAGTGCCGAGTGCTCGAATGGTCAGTCCACCCCTGGTCCTGAGCTACTAGCCAGGCCTTAGAGTTACTCGCGACCAACAAACACACACAGAAACCTGTACACACACACAGACATGTACATACACACACACACACACACACACACACACACACACACACACACACATACACACACACACAGAAACGTACACACACGCACAGAGACACGTGCATACATACACAGACACATGTTCACACAGACACATGTGCGTACATACACAGACACATGTACACACACACACACACACGTACATACACACAGACACATGTACAATTGTACATGCATACACAGACACACACACACACACCCATAAAAAGTTGCAGTACTTTGTTGTTCACTCACAGAGCCGGGTACTGCACTCTAGGGGGAGGCAGAGAGCACAGCACACACTCCTTGCTTTGCTTTCACTGCGCTCAGCTATTGAGCAGTCTGACGGCTCCCAGTGCCAACGACAGATCCGGCCTGAGCTCCGAGCCTGCTCAGCAAGACGGCCCTGGGGGACACACTCACCCCCACCATAATTTCCACTCGCTATTGGTGAGCAGGCAAGTGGAAATTTCAAGCCCTGAGCTATTGTAAAACTAATGAGCACAGTAAAGATAGCTCACATCACTTGGCTAATTGACATGTTTGTCATTAGCTTGGCAGCAAAGGATTCTGGGAGTCAGAGCAAGAGGTGTACATTGAGTCTCCTATAAAGATGACTTGGGAAGCACTGACTATCACCTTTAATCTTTGGAAGTGCCCTTTGTAAAAATGTAAGACTTTAGCAGTTGTATTTGAATTTTATCATAAGTATCTCTAGAATTAACAGCCCAAAGCAAACACTTGGTACGGCACAACAAGAAAGGTCAATTGGCATCTGACACTACATAAAATGCCATATTGTGTTTAAAAAAAGGGAGCTGTGTGATGCGCCAAGGGCTAGTTCACACCAGATTCAGTTCTGTGCACTTTTTTTGCATAAAACAGTGATTTACATGTATTCCAATAGCCCTGGTTCACACTAGTGCAGTCAGTTCCAGTCAGTTTCCGATGCAGAAAATAAGTAGCACAGAACCATACTGGAACATGACAAACTGCACCAAAACTGCCCCAGAAATGGAGTGTAGTGTGAACTGTAAGCAAAAACATATCCGTAATGCATCTGGAGTGCATTTTTGTAGTGTGAACTGGCCCTAAATCATGTACCACACTGCCCTGTATGGCAGTCGAAATAGACAGCTGATGTAGAGGTAAAGCACTCCAACATCTGTCAGTTCCAATGTCAATTCAGCCTAACAGCTTTGATGTTTAACCTAGTTTTCTTATAGCCCTATATATCAATGTATTCTGTATATTTGTATAACAATACCATACCACAGATAAAGGAAATGGATAGAGTTCATTTTAATTCTTGTTTGTTTTACAGATTTTGCAGAGTTTGTTTTCCTAGGTCTCTTTCTAACAGAAATGTCCCTGAAGATGTATGGTCTCGGTCCTCGAAACTACTTTCACTCATCTTTTAATTGTTTCGATTTTGGGGTGAGTTTTTCTATCACTTAAAACAACTCCTTCAAGCTGTTTTTGTTGTTTGTTTTAACTACTTCCTAACTAGCTCCAGCATCCTTTCAGTTAGGTCTTCGAGTCCAGGGGGGAGAAATTCTGTCAAAGTGATCACATGGCCTGTCCCACCAGTTCCTGATCCTTACTAGAGGCCAAGAGCTGTGTATGACAGCTCAATCACTGTGCTGGGAGACTGCAGTGGGTGTTCTCTGAGCACAAAAACCTTGGTAGTCCATAGATGTACAGTATCTCACAGAAGTGAGTCCACCCCCTCACATTTTTGTAAATATTTTATTATATCTTTTCATGTGACGACACTCGAGAAATGCCACTTTGCTACAATGTAAAGCAGTGAGTGTACAGCTTGTATAACAGTGTAACTTTGCTGTCCCCTCAAAATAACTCAACACACAGCCATTAATGTCTAAACTGCAGTACACCCCTAAGTGAAAATGTCCAAATTGGGCCCAAAGTATCAATATTTTGTGTGGCCACCATTATTTTCCAGCACTGTCTTAACCCTGATGGGCATGGAGTTCACCAGAGCTTCACAGGTTGCCACTGGAGTTCTCTTCCACTCCTCCATGACGACATCACGGAGCTGGTGGATGTTAGAGACCTTGTGCTCCTCCACCTTCCGTTTGAGGATGCCCCACAGATGCTCAATAGGATTTAGGTCTGGAGACATGCTTGGCCAGTCCATCACCTTTACCCTCAGCTTCTTTAGCAAGGCAGTGGTGGTCTTGGAGGTGTGTTTGGGGGTTATGTTGGAATACTGCCCTGTGGCCCAGTCTCCAAAGGGAGGGGATCATGCTCTGCTTCAGTATGTCACAGTACATGTTGGCATTCACGGTTCCCTCAATGAACTGTAGCTCCTCAGTGCCGGCAGCACTCATGCAGCCCCAGACCATGACACTCCCACCACCATGCTTAACTGTATTCAAGACACACTTGTCTTTGTACTCCTCACCTGGTTGCCGCCACACACGCTTGACACCATCTGAACCAAATACGTTTATCTTGGTCTCATCAGACCACAGGACATGGCTCCAGTAATCCATGTCCTTAGTCTGCTTGTCTTCTGCAAACTCTTTGCGGGCTTTCTTGTGCATCATCTTTAGAAGAGGCTTCCTTCTGGAATGACAGCAATGCAGACCAATTTGATGCAGTGTGCGGTGTTTGGTCTGAGCATTGACAGGCTGACCCCCCCACCCTTCAACCTCTGCAGCAATGCTGGCAACATTCATTTGTCTATTTCCCAAAGACAACCTGTGGATATGATGCTGAGCATGTGCAGTCAACTTCTTTGGTCGACCATGAAGAGGCCTGTTCTGAGTGGAACCTGTTGTTAAACCGCTGTATGGTCTTGGCCAGGTGCCATGAGCAACATTCTTTTTTTCAGATCCTCAGAGATTTCTTTGCCATGAGTGCCATGTTGAACTTCCAGTGACCAGTATGAGAGAGTGAAAGCGATAACACCAAATTTAACACACCTGCTCCCTATTCACACCTGAGACCTTGTAACACTAATGAGTCACATGATACCGGGGAGGGAAAATGGCTAATTGGGCCCAATTTGGACATTTTCACTTAGGGGTGTACTCAATTTTGTTGCCAGCGGTTTAGACGTTAATGGCTGTGTGTTGAGTTATTTTTAGGGGAAAGCAAATTTACACTGTTATACAAGCTGTACACTCACTATTTTACATTGTAGCAAAGTGTCATTTCTTCAGTGCTGACTCATGAAAAGATATAATAAAGTATTTACAAAAATGTGAGGGGTGTACTCACTTTTGTGAGATACTGTATATGTGCAACATGTAGACCTTAAAAACCTACTCTTTTCCTGCTGCACATATGGCTTACATGAGTAGCAAGAGGTTAAAGCGAAACTAAACCTTCCAATCCTTTACAGCCAAAGAAGCTGCCATCTTGGTCTCTGTTTGATCTGCAGTTACCATAGTGCTGCACATGTAATCACCTATGACACCAGCCATTTGATTGCTCTGCATTTCTTTTGAGAGCTAAAATAAGTACACTGGTAACATTGACAGTTATTAGCAGAGGAATGCATTAAATGTAACTGTTTTGGTAGACCGTGGGTGTGAATACTTTAACTTCATTCAGATACCCAGCTGTGTTCAGGATGAATTCACATTTTGTAATTAGGGATAAACATGTCAAAATTATTAGTTTTTTTTTTCCGTTTCGGGTAGAGTAGGGAAATGTCTAACCTCTGTCAGAATTTTGTTGCTGGCTGTGTCCCTGCTTGGTAGGTTCACCTTCTTTTTCCTGGTGACCACTGATCCCTGGTTCACATATCTGAGCACGGGCACGAGAGCCCATTCAATGAACACCCGTGCCCTGGGACACACAGGGAAGAAATCCCTGCACTTCTTCTGAAAACGCAGCCCACATGGGAACCTCGGTTCCCAGTATGATTGCGATTTCCAGTGAGGGCGGCGTGCCATTAGAATTAATTACCCGCCCGCAGGTCCGCATTCTTCAGTGTAAATCCACAACGGCACCACCCGCACATTTGTGAACCTAGCCTGAAAGAGATGGCAAGTCCAAAATCCTGCAGAATTTAATCTAAAAGTAAGTGAGGAGAAATCTACCAACAGAGGCACAAAACCGAGGAAATTTTTCCCTTTGCTTCCTGCAGTATCTCTTGAGCAGGAAGTGAAGGAAAATCCCTGACATGATGCACAGACAAACAAAAAAAAAAAAAATACATTTTGAAGCACTTTAATTCCTGTGATAGCGAGGTTAGGATTGCTCCATTAGTAAGATCATAGATGTAATAATTAGACATGTGCGATTCATTATGAATTGAAATTCTGACTAAATTTGCATGATTCTGAGATCTGGATTTCCGAATCACAATACTAATAAAATTCACCTAATCCGAAATAAACTATAACAAAATCAATAAATTAATTTGTTTCATTTGGAAGACATGACGCAATAGATGGGCCTTTTGTTATTGTATGAAGCATCCAGAATAATGTAATGACATAGCAAGTGGTCCGAATCAATACGGATCCAATTGCTTTTTATTCTAGTAAGCGTAGCATGAATATTCTAATAAAATCCTTTTTGTATTGGGGTTGAACTTAAAAGACCATTTGTTTAATTTGCAGACCCAACAAAGTCAGTTGGGAATGGTGAAATGAATTCAACTTAATAACATAACGAATGATATGTAGTAATTAATTACATTAAAATGATTGTAGCCAATCTTCTAAATAACAAAAACAAAACAGAACTTCCAAAAATACAAATTAATTCGGAACAACAAATATATAGTGTTTTGAAATAAGGAATCATTACGAAAACGTATCATTCTAACATAACAATTGTGAGGAGATTAAATGATTTACTTAAAGTGGTAGTGAAGCCTACCTGTAGGTACTGTAAATATCTCCTAGACGTTCACAGCGTAGGAGATATTTACTTTAGCAGTGCCGGTGATGTCACCAGCGCATGCGCACTGTGCTTTCAATGGACAGCGTCACCATGACTTGGCCAGTCAAACGGTTGCAGCCCACGAACCCGGTAGGAAGACCGGATGAAGATAGAAACCCCGGGGTGCCATGACAGTGCTCTGCTGGAGGGCCTCATTTTCAGGCAGGTCTTTCATAATGTGCTAGTATGCGATGCGTACTAGCACACTGTGCCCTTACTTGCAGGGAGATGATTTCTTTAGATTTATTTTGTGTGCTTTACTACCACTTTAACAAATAAAACTGAAACAAAATGTTTCTGTCGTACACATCTCTAGTAATAATTTACTGATGTTTATATGCAGGTTCTTGCTGTCAACAAGATTCTGATGTGAAAGCACAAGTCATGTTCCTTAAAGACCTTGAGTTAATAAGCGCAAAATTCTTCTTCATCCTCCTCTAGCTGCCAGTAATTCAGTTTAGGCTTATACGCTTGTATGTGCTTGGGTACAGATTCCTAAATTATTCCATTCAAACAAAACATTTTCTATTTTTTTTCTTATGGCTCTGAATACATCGATGCATAACAGAACTTACCCCCATAGACAACAATGCACCTTTGTTCAGATCTATAAAAAAAATTAAACAAAAACCCACTACAAGGCAACAAGTGCAATGTTTTTTCTGCCCATGTGCAAGAGGCCTAAAGCAGATATGTTTATATGCCAAATAAAAATTGAAAAATTAAAACCATGCCTGAAAAAGAGAAAACTAATTATGAAAGCATGCACCTACATTCATTTAGTCTTGCAAAAGGTATTGCTTAAATTTTTACTATTCTACAAATAAAGATTGAATTACTGGTGATTATTGGAAAGAATATTTCAGTGGCTTTATCTTCATGCAGGATAGTCATGTAAATACAGCAGCAGCCCCGTGCTGAAAAGAGAAGGGGATTATGGGAAAGAAGGCAGAAGAGACAGTCATGATAGTTCTCCAGCTTTGTTCTTCTTGCAGGATAATGGTGGTTTCTTCTGAAAAAAATCACCATCCTCATCCTACTCTTCAGTTCATGATTGTGTAATGCAATATAAAGGTCGTTTTACTGTTTGTTGTTCTTACAGGTTATAGTGGGTAGTATTTTCGAGGTGATTTGGGCAGCAGTAAAACCAGGAACCTCTTTCGGGATCAGTGTGCTTCGAGCTCTGCGGCTTCTCCGTATTTTCAAAGTCACAAAGTAAGAGCTCCATCTGCCTATAGTGTGCTCCCATATCACCCATGATGGAGTTTAGCCATCAAAAGTCATGTTGTGACCTGCACATGTGATCTGGGATATAAACTTTCTGCTGGTGTTTGCAGGTACTGGAACTCCTTGAGAAATTTGGTGGTGTCCTTGCTGAACTCCATGAAGTCAATCGTTAGTCTTTTGTTCCTTCTTTTCCTCTTCATCGTGGTCTTCGCGCTTTTGGGGATGCAGCTTTTTGGAGGACATACCAGTAAGTGTCAGTCATAGTTCCGATGATAATTTCCCTTTTCTTTAGCTACACATTACCATGATCAGCGTAATATATAGCATGGCAGTATCTAAATTGAGGCTCCCAGATGTCTTTGGGAGTTCTGATATTTCACCTTTGGAGTCCTTAGACATATAATAAATTGTTAGGTTGTAATAGTTCGGTATGTAATGTGGAAGGGTTAGAACTCCTGTCAGGTTTTTACTGCCATCTCTGTCCCAGCTCAGGAAATTCTCCCTTTCTGATTGTCCAGGCAACCATAGTCACGAGGATAGAAAGTCATAAGAAATTTACACAATGGAAATGTTTTCGATTGTCACTGAAACAAGATAAATCTTCCAAAGGGGCACTTGTTCTGGTCACAGCTATCTCAGAGGGTATTTCCTCTAACTTTGGAGAGAGCTCACCTCATTTCCTGTTGTGTGGGGCAGATAGTGAAGGGAGAAGGGGACCCACACAGCAGAAAAAAAACCCAAACATAGCAGTTTTAACCATTCCACAATCTAATAATACAATGTTTTGGCTTTATATACACGTAACTCTTTGACATAATTAAAATTGTCCATCATTTCATGACATCTCCCAAAATTGAAATACAAGAGCGGTGTAGGCTGTTTAAACGTTTACATAAACCTGTCCCAACCCTAAGCAATTCAAACTGAGCATACAATGGAAAAATACATAAGCTTTAATCTACATTTCAAAAGAATGAGCTGCTGCAGAAAAAAGGTAGAACGTTCCTTGATAGGGCATCAAAATATCAGACTTCAGGAAACCCCTAACCCCTGACTCTCAAGTTCAAGAGTCAGAGATAGAAAAACGTAAGTCACCAAGGCAGAAAGTGAGAGAAAAGCCAAAATGTTGAGTTGTCACTGGAATAGGTATAGAAGGGAAATTGTTCAATGGAAACACTTGTTTCAGTGACAACTGTTTTAGAAAGGATTTTCCTAGTTTTCCATATCCAAGCGATTTTAACTATTTTCTACTATCAAAAACAAAGTTTTTTGGCTTTGGACATTCTTTAAAACACCACATGTATAACTCTGTCTTGTTTTTCAGATTTTACTTTGAAGAGGAAACAAGAAACACAAATTTTGACACCTTCCCCACTGCCATCTTGACCGTTTTTCAGGTGGGTCTAATGATATTGATGTTGTAGCTCATATTTGAATTATTTCTTGTATATGTTGGCTTTTCTAACATATTGTAGAATTACTATTAAAAAGCCTGGACTACCATTTTTATTGTACTCTTTGGTGTCTCTGATTTTAGTACCAGTAGGCATGCCCAAAATACAGCACACTGGCTAAGTGATTAGCATCCTGCCTTGCAGTGCTAGGTTACATAAGGAATGGTTTGTATTTTGGAATGGTTTGTATATTTGCATGGTTCCCTCCCAGAATCCAGAAAACATACTGGAGTAATGTTTTGGTTCCATTTTCCGCGGTTGTCAGTCTTGCTATAACCGGTCACCACTAAGCCCCAAATAAGGGACTTTAGATGTTCTGTTATACTTGTCAAACATTGTTTAGCTCTGATCTATTACTTATGCCAGTAATGTTGCTTGCAGATCCTGACAGGGGAGGACTGGAACAATGTCATGTACTTTGGAATCGAATCACAAGGGGGTGTCAGCAAAGGAATGTACTCTTGTATTTACTTCATCATCCTGACTCTGTTTGGAAACTGTATCCTTTGATGTCAAAATAGTTCCACCACTTCAGCTCCCATACCTGTATACCCATTATGGACTAGAGCAATTTTTATATTTCCGCTATGGGCCTCTTGACTCAGCAATGACTATCGTTATTTATAAAACCAAAGTACAAAATACAAATACATATACCATTATTTCAACACAGACAAGGATTTCTAGCAATTTGTCTTTCACAAATAATTGTATTCTTTCTGCAATCTGCAGGTAAAAGGCATAGTTCTGTCTCAGCATGAAGAAAGTCAGACTGCTGCAGGGAAACCTCTGCTTCCGCACAAATAGCAAAGGTCCTTCTTTGCAGCATGCCGGCATGGGACAGGTTTTTCTACTCAGGTTTTGTCTGCTTTCTATAAAAGAAAAAAGAGCTGTAGCATTTTGCACATCTTTTGTTTTGATGCACCTGGAATATAGTTAACTGATAGTTCAATTAGGCTTTACAGTGAAACTAGGCTGTCCTATTGGCCAAAGACATAGCCATCGTATGGCAGGAATACACGTTAAGAAAATCGACCGATCAATCATCTGACAACCGATCGGCGGTCGTTTGTTGGTCGAAATCGTGGCCCACATTAACCAATCGGAAAAAAAAAATTGTTCGGCGAGCAATACGTAGTGTTGACGTCTTCCGTACAAGTGGAAGTGATGCAGTGTGCGTGTGACCTTGTAGCCACGCCCTTCCGCCCAGAACTATTAATTGGCCATAAATCCTTGGAATTAATTGGATTAAATTGGATTTATGGATCCTTGGACATAAACATCCAGGACATCATCTGCTTCCGCTCATGCGTGATATCGCCTGACAGATTTTTTTCAGATGACCGTCATACCACCGCATAGAAAATCAGTCGTTCGCATGCGAAACAACAAACTTTTTCACTGTTATTCAACCGGATTTTTTCGTTCACAATATCGTTATCGGTTATAACATCCTGCTCATCAACGAAGAGAAAGTTGGTCGATCGTTTGATCAACGAAAATTTTCGTACGATTTTCTTACCATATATTCCTGCCATTAGTCCCTTTTGGATTTGCAGTTGCCATATTGCTGCACACATGACCAGCTATTGCTCTTATACAGGATTTATGTAGTGCCAGCAATTTGCATCCGTGTCCCATCCCCAATACAGGTATCAACCCCTTTATTCCCCTGCTATTGGGAGCATGCTTACAAAAGGTCACTGACCACTCCATAGAGTCCACTTCCAAGCAAGAAAAGAGGGAAGCCACTCTATTAAAAATAATGGAAATCGTCTTACCTTTATTTTTGCTTGGAAGTGCCAATAGTTTATGTTGACCTTTACAAAATAAAGGGTGACAGTACAGTTACAAGAGGATTCAGAGGGCCCTGCTTATGAGATTGTTACAATCTAAAAAGAGAGGAGCAGGTGATACAAAAAAGGTAAAAACTGTTAGGGATGAACTGATGGAGAAAAGTAAAATTACAGGGTTTTTTTTTAGGTGGAAGTGGAGCAGGACTCCCTGAAGAGATGGGCTTTCAGAGATTGCCTTTCAGAGATTGCCTAATAGTTTACAGAGTAGGAGATAGCTAAGCATATTGGGAAAGCTAGTATCAGAGGAAATGAGAGGCTCTGGAGAAGTCCTGCAGGTGAGCATAGGAGAATGTGACATGGGAGCTAGAGAGCAAGAGTCCTTATTTGTCCAATATTTGGGTGATATTGTGAGATTAAATTGGTGATATAGCTAGGGGCAGAGTTGTGGATGGCTTTGTTTGTTGTTGTTAGTACTTTCAAGTAAGAAAGAAAGAAATTATATTCAGCGCAAATACTGGAACCTAGTCCAAAAAGTCTAATAGTTAGTGGAAATAGTCTGGGTGACTTGGATTGGAGGGGTCCGTATGGCACTAAGGGCAAGCTTCATGCAGTACTGTAGCAGACTCTGTGTAGTAAAGGAGAGAAGAAGCGCCTCAAAGTGCAGCAGACCACTTTAATTCCACATAAAAGTAGGAACACTCACATGTTAGTAGAGTAATACAGGCATGTTTTAGTATATGGTGTGGAAACACTGTGTGGAACGGCTTTCACTGGTGTATAATATGTCCGCCTTGCATAATACGTCCACCTCTCACTTGAAGGAGCTTGGTAGCAGGAGGGAGACAGATGTGGAGCCGGCTGGCATGCTCGTACTCCTCAAGATGGCGGCTAGAACACACTCTGGAGCGCGTGTAGGCATGATGACGTCAGTGACCAGAATTCAATGTGACGCGTTGAGGAGTGCGTGCATGCTGGCCAGCTCCACATCTGTCTCCCTCTTGCTACCACACTCCTTCCAGTGAGACGCAGGACGTATTAGGCACCAGTGACATCCGTTCCACACAGTGTTTCCACACCATATACTAAACGTGCCTGTATTACTCTACTAACATGTGAGTGTTCCTACTTTTATGCTGAATTAAAGTGCTTTGCTGCACTTAGAGGCGCCTTTCTTCTCTCCTTTTACTCTTATTCATTGGCCAAGCAGAAGCCAATGAAGGGATTCCCAGAGAGGAGCGGTGGCCACTGAATGGATGGGTAGGGTGGATAAGTCGGGCAGCAGCACATGCTAGACAGGGCAGTTTCTGTTGGGTGTTGTGGGTGAAAGTCAAACTGTAAGGGGTCGAAAAGGTTGTTATCAGTGAGGTGGTAGCTCAGACAGATTTTTAAGTTTGGGGTGACCAATGCCTATTTTAACCACCTCCCGCCCGCCATATAGTAATATGATGGACGCAAGGAGGTTCTTTCGTTCTGGGAGGACGTCATATGACGTCCTCCCATTCTCACTGCGCATGCGCGGCTCCCTCGGACACAGCAGATCACTGATCCACAGAAAGAACCGAAGATGTCGGCTCGGTCATGTGATCAGCTGTGTCCAATCACAGCTGATCACATGTAAACAGGGAAATGCCAGTTATCGGCATTTCTCTCCTCTCGAGCTGTCACGCTGACAGCTTGAGAGGAGAGGAGAGACGGTAATCGGCATTCTGCGGAGGGGACATCTACACTGATGATCAGTGTGCCCTGATGGTCAGTGTAGCCCCAGCAGTGCTACCTGTCAGTGTCCATCAGAGCCAGCTGTTTGTGCTCACCAGTGCCAGTGCTCATCAGTGCCACATCAATGCCACATATCAGTGCCTACCAGTGCACATCAGTGCCCATCTGAGCTGCCTTTCAGTGTCACCCAGTGCCACCTATCAGTGCCAGTCAGTGCCGCCTGTCAGTGCCAGTCAGTGCCGCCTGTCAGTGCCCGTCAGTGCCGCCTATCAGTGCCATATATCAGTGCTGTCTTTCAATGCCCATCAGTGCCACCTACCAATGCCTCCTCATCAGTGCCCATCAGTGCCACCTATCAGTGTCCATCAGTGCAGCCTCATTAGCGCACATCAGTGAAGGAGAAAAATCACTTATTTACAAAATTTTATAAGAAAAAACTAGGAAAAAACTTTTTTTTTTTCAAAATTTTCAGTGGTTTTTGGTTTGTTTAAGAAAAAATAAAAAACCCAGAGGTGATTAAATACCACCAAAATAAAGCTCTATCTGTCACAAAAAAAATGATAAAAAATTCATATGGGTACAGTGTTGCATGACCGCGCAATTGTCATTCAAAGTGCAACAGTGCTGAAAGCTGGAAATTGGCCTGGGCAGGAAGGGGGTATAAGTGCCCTGTAGGCTTGTGGTTAAAGGGGAGGGGAAGCTGCCAGTACTGGGGAAGAGATTGGATATGTGAGTTAGAGAGTGCAGAATAGAGCAAGAGGGGATGCAAGTATATGTGAGGGGATGGGATTCAGTAGTAACAGGGTCAAAGGTGGAAAGTGTTGAGTATGGTGGTAGACCTGATATGGTAAGTGATATCTGGACAATGGAGATTTCCTCAAAAACTGCATCAATCGTGTTTTTTTAAATGATTGGTAATGTCCTGGGCAGTGAATGAGTTAGTTGGGGAAGATGATGGAAGACAAAGAAAGAGTTCGAGGTAAAAAAGAGCTGACAAAGTGAGGGTGTTGATGAGAGTGATGAAAGCACAATGGTAGATGTTGTGTTCTAGGAGGTCAGATTTATAAAGGGAAGTCTTGCAGGAGTTTAGTTTTACACCACACTTGCTCAAGAGCACAAGTGTGTCTTTTAAGACTTGCGGAGTCTTCTGTTTCGAAAGGTTGTAGAGGATGAGAACTAATTCTGCATGTAACAAAGGGAGCACATGGGAGTCAGGAACGGTGGGAGTGAGCTATTGTAGACAGAAGTAGTGAGGTTGGGGCAAGACAGGGTGAGATTTTGTCACAGAGGTAGTCTGTTGCAAAGCAGAGAAAAGAAGGGTTCACGTGGCAAAGGTTTCTTCTGGTAATGGATTGCTGATTGGGAGGAGAGGAGGTAGAAGACAGGGAGAGTGTGAAACTTATAAGGTTGTGATCAGATAGA